TCAGAACATGGCAACACCAAAAGGAGTCATTTCAGTGACTAGGTAACATAAGAAAGACTTTGTTCTTTCTGTCTCTCTCTTAATCTGATTTTGATGAAGTTCCCACATTGAGGAGGATCACATGGCAAGGAACTGAGTTGACTTCCAGCTAACAACCAGTGGGAACTGAAGCCTACAGCCTCATAGTCCTTAAGGAATAGAATCCTGAGGATTCTAGACATTTGTACAAAATAATATACCTTTAAATATAAAGAACTATATGAATTATATGCAATGCATAAATAGATATACCTTGCCTTTAAATATTTTTCAGAAATAGCTCTTTCCTTTATTAATACGCTGATTATATGATGAATGTTATATTAAAGGCCAACAAGCAATAAGTATAAATAAAATTTCACACATACATCATCAAAAAAAGAGGATTCACTCTCATAATCATATGACACTATTTCCTTCCTTTATAAATACTTAATGATGCTTCATGTGTATTGATACACTAACAGTATCTTTACTTTTTTTTTTTAAAGTCAGTCATGGGGCTTGAACTCTGGGCCTGGGTGCTGTCCCTCAGCTCTTTAGCTCAAGGCTAGCACTCTACCACTTGAGCCACAGTGCCACTTCTGGTTTTCTGGTAGTTTATTGGAGATAAGAGTCTCATGGACTTGCCTGCCCTGGCTGGCTCTGAACCGTGATCTTCAGATTTCAGCCTCCTGAGTGGTGGGCCACCAACATCCAGCTATCTTTACATTTTTAAAGGCTGTTAAGGTAACCTCTAATAGAAAATAGCCCTATTGCCAAAAAAAAAAAAAAAGGGCTCATGTACAAAAGACTTGATCCCCAGAGTACTAGTGTTCAGAGCTGGGTCTTCAGGAAGCAATTGCCTCATGAGGCTTCTGACTTTATCAATAGACCAATCCATTGAGGGCTTCATAAGATCATAGCCTTAGTAGAAAGTGGGGAAAACATTAGGCAGTGGGCCTCAGTGAAGAAAGGAAAATTAATAAACAACCCAAAAGCCTTATTGAGGCAGCTTCAGAAATGCCATGAAAATATTCTACTGTTTAAATGCTAATACTGAGGTCTAAGAGTGATGGTAGCTGGCCAGGGACTGCTGTACTTAAAAAAAAAATCCTAGGGCTGGGAAGGTGGCTCAGTGGTAGAGCGCTTGCCTTGCATGCTCAAGGCCCTGGGTTCGATTCCTCAGCACTACATAAGCAAAAAAAGAAAAAAGCCGGAAGTGGCGCTGTGTCTCAAGTGGTAGAATGCTAGCCTTGAGCTGAAGAGCTGAGGGACAGCGCCCAGGCCCAGAGTTCAGGCCCCACGACCGGACCAAAAAAAAAATCCTGCCAACCACAAAGGTGAGCTTAGGTGCCCATCTTTCCATAGTCAAACATTCAGACATCTAAGTCTGGGCTCACAACTTCGATAAATCCTTGGGGCAAACCTTTCAGAACGAGGGGACAACATATTTAGAACTATGCTCAATCCATCATGACTTCCCTTAACTTGAATAGATCAGCAAAAACACAGCCATTCTAAAGAGGATCATATTCAGATTCCACTGGATTAGATGGCAGAAGAGACTATTCAGAACTTGAGTTAAGATTAATAACTGACCTTTGTTGATTTGTGTCCTTGGCGGTTAGAAAGAGTCTTTGAAAATAGGAATGAGATCTTGTTACAGGATCTGAAACTTCAGAGAGCACAGATTCTGTCTTCCTTCCTGATCATACTCCTTTACAATTACTTAATTCATACCCTGAAAAATGACATGTCTGCTTTAGTGCATTTGTGTATATGCAACTGTTCTTCCTTTATTTTTACCATTTTTCTCACAGAAGAATGCAGACAGCCCAAGACCAGCATCCAAATACTGAATTGTTAAATTTTGCTTAGGGTCAGAAAGAACAGACACTATAGGTTGATGAGAACAGTCAGACAGACTCTTGAAGTAGAGTGAGTGAGCTTTAACAATTTTTTTTTTTTGTGTGTGTGTGTGTATGCCAATCCTAGGGCTTGAATTTAGGACCTGGGAGCTGTCCCTGAGCTTTTGTGAGAAAGACTAGCACTCTACTACTTGAGCTACAACTCTCCTTCTGGCTTTTTTGGTAGTTAATTGAAGCCTCATGGTCTTTCCTGCCTGGGCTGGCTTCAAATCCTGATCTTAGCTTCCTGGTTAACTTACAAGCATGAGCTACTGCCCCAATCTTCGTTTTGAACTCTCTTACCTTCATTTCACTCCAAGATGCAAGAGAGTGTAGTATTGCTATTCCTGAGAATTCTGTAATAAAAAACAGGTTGGTTCTGTTTTCCCCAAAGCAAGTTTTTTTTTTTGGGGGGGTCTGGTCATGGGGCCTGGGCGCTGTCCCTCAGCTCTTCAGGTCAAGGCTAGTGCTCTACCACTTGAGCCACAGCACCACTTCTGGCTTTTTTTCCCTGCTTATATGGTGCTGAGGAATCGAACCCAGGGCCTCATACATGCAAGGCAAGTGCTCTACTACTGAGCCACCTTCCCAGTCCCCCCAAAGCAAGTTTTGACTGACTCTACCTCTGTTCTGCTATGTCAAGTTCTATTCACCTATCTACATTCCACACTGCTAAATTGTTTTTTCTTTTGCTGAATTTTTCTCCCCTAATACTTGATTTCTGTTGATGTGGGTATTCATCATGCATCTCCATTTACTGTGGTTTCAGAGAAGCATTAGAGTGATGTTAGGTGAATATATTAATTTGATGTCTCAACCTGGAGCTCCAAGTTTAAAATGAAAGCAACAAATAGGACTGTGAGGATTTTTTTTTCTTTTCCCTGTAATGAGCTGCTGAGGTATAGGCATGAAATACGCAGATAGATTAAAATGGGGTTTACATTATGCCAAGTCAGAAACAGAAGAGGTGAAAGGGGAGGGTATTTTATTTGCAAGCCAGTTTTTTTGTTTTTGGTAATGCTAGAGTTCAAACTCAGGGCCTTGTGCTTGCCAGGCAGGTGTTCTACTGCTTGAGCCATGCTGCTAGCCCTTTTTACTTCAACTATTATTGAGGCAGGGACTCAAAATTATGGGCAGGCAGGCTGGTTTGGACTGTGATCTTTCTATTCATGCTTCCTATATAACTTGGTTGATAGATGCATGTCATGCTCAGCATTTTATTGGTTGAGATGGGGCTCATCAACATTTTCCTAATCATGAACAATCTTCCTGATCTTTTCCTTTGAGAAGCTAGGATTATAAGTGTGAGCCTCTGAGCCTGGCTGTAACAAAGTAATTAAACGATGCATCTGACTCAAGCTGGGTAAGGAGGGCAGTGAGAACAGGAATAAGATAAACTAAACCAAAGGCAATCAGTGGATTAGAGATTAAAAAACTGTTATAATAGTGTTCAGTTGGGTCCATGAAATTAAGGTTATAGGAATAATAGTGACTGAAAGACTAGGAATTTAGGTATGAGATGCTATATAGATGAGTAGCTATAGTGTGACCTAGGGAAGGGGTGGTATAGCAGCCTAGTTTCCAAAGATGGTCATAGTATCTCTCATCCCATTCAGCTCTGGACAATATGCCACACCTCCATGAAGAGTTGGAATATTATTCCCCTTCCCTGACATTGAAAGGTCTGGCTTTTCAATTTGTTTACTACCAGGTAATCAAAGTGAAGTTTTGTGATTCCTAGCCTAGGTTTCTCCTGGGACTATTGGAAGAAGCTAGCCATAATGTAGGCTTTTAGTTGCTCTAAGATTACCATGCTACAGAGATGTGATGTACTCTGGCTGATAGGAAGTCCACATTAGAATCCCTGCCAAGATGCTGGGCGTGTGAAACTCTCTTGGACACGATTAACCAAACAGATAGCTTCTTCCGTTGATACCATGAGAAACAAAATTACCAAGTTGAACCATGCCTCAATTCTTGACCTAAATAATTTGTAACATATGATAAAATGTCTGTGATTTACAAGTTTCTATCATTCAGTTGGATCTCTCCCATGAACTCCCAGCCCATATACTACCTACTTTCCAAACAGGTACATCTAGAACTTAACATGTCCGAATCGGAGTTCTAGAAAGTCCTCTCAAACATGTTGTTTCCTAGATCAATTAAAGGCAATTCGATTCTTCCAGTTACTTTGGTGTTGCTGGTTTTTCTTCTCTTCTCTTCTACCTAGTATGTAGCATTTGGGAAATCCCACTGGCACTATCTTCAAAACAGATTTAGCTTTCCATCATTTCTTTCCATCTCCACTGCTATAAACTGGGTCCAAACTATTGCCTTCTCTCACTTGGATTAGGTGATAGTCTCCTTTCAGGTCTCACTCAGTTGCTTTAGTTTGTCGTCAGTCTACTCAGCCAACCTGCTCAAGATACCCTGTTAAAATGCAAATCAAACGGTGTCCCTCCTCTGCTCAGATTCCTCCAGCGACATTTCATCTCAGTTACAGTAATCAAATGTCAAAGGGTCTCCTGGCCCCCCCCCTCACTGTGTTTGTCTCCTACTCCTCTTTCACTAAGCCATGGTGGCTCTTCCTGCTCCTAAAGTCTAGAGAGCACAGACTCTGTCTGCTAGCTACTACCTCTGTTGGAATGATCTTTCCCAAGGATCTCTCTGGCTAGCTTCTCTCTCAGCTATTATTCCAACATGATTTTCTCTAAAAGATGACACTACACTAAATTTCAACCATCCAGATACCTTGTAACCTATCCCTGGCTTTATTTTCCTTCTTGGCACGTATCACTGTCTAAATACACTCCATTTACTTATTTATTGTCCAGTATTGTCCAGTTTCTTTGGTTGAATGTTAAGTACTACAAGACAAGCCCTTTAGTTTAATTTGTTCATTGATGGTTAGACGAGTGTTGTGTACCCAGAGATCCTCAAGCTGTACTTACTGATTACACAGGATCTCAGTACTCGATCCCAATCAAAGAAAAAATATGGCAAGAAAAGGGGAGGAGTGCAGCTAAAGTAAATTCAAACAAATAAGAGGCCTGATTAGTTTTCATGTAGTTTATCTTTCAATCATTTATTCACAATTTTCTCCTTGCATTAATTATGATTAAGGAGTAAATTCACTACTTAAAGTTCATCTACTTCTTAGGATGTTCTTCCTTTGATTTCAAGTCTCTATTGTCCTGGAGTCCTAAGAGAATGGCATCAGCCTCCAGTATAGTTGTATCTGTGGTTGCTCCCAGGAACCTAGATGTGAGCTCAAGATCTAAGAGCCGTAGCCGGACCTTGGTGTCCTTCTGGTATTTCCTAAATGATAAGAAAAAAAAATCCATTAATTCTATCATAACATGAACAATTATTTTAAATTAACAGTGTATCTGAGAAATTCATATTTCAAAATTCATATTTTAAGCCTTTGACTTAAAAGCAAATTAGCTATATCAGAATTCTTGCCTTAAAGTTGCCTTTAAATATTTTATAATGGTTAAATCTTTTTTTTTGGTAGGTTGTGGGGCTTGAACTCTGGGCCTGGGCACTGTCCTTGAGTTCTTTAGCTCTTCAAGAGCTTTCCTGAAGAGCTCCCTAGCTTTTCAAGGCTAGCGTTCTACCACTTGAGCTACAGCACCACTTCCGATTTTCTGGTGGTTTATTGGAGATAAGAGTTTCATGGACCTTCCTGGCTTTGAACCACGATCCTCAGATCTCAACCTCCTGAGTAGCTAGGATTACAGGTGTGGGCCACCAGCGCCTGGCTTGTTTAAATCTTTTAATTCTTTGTGTTTCAAACAGGTTAGTTCTGAAAATTGCCTTTTTGTTTGTGTGTGGTAATAATGAGGTTTGAACTCCAGGCCTCATGATTGTTAGCCGGGTGCTTTCCACTTGAGCCAAACCCACTGCTTTTTTGGCTTAATTTTCTTCATAGGATCTCATATTGTTGCTCAGGCTAACCTGGACCACATATTACCTATGCCTTCTGTGTAGAAGGGATTACAGAAGGATACCACTAACTCTGGCCCTCCATTTAAAAAATGTCATTCATGTATAAAAGAAAAAAATTCAGGTACATATTTTCTCTTACAACTAAAACTGCCTTTTGAAGTAAAGTAAAATATTACAAAAACAACATAAATAAAAGACTTGACTGAAGACATGGCTCAAATGGTAGAGCTCCAGCTATGAGCAAAAATGCTAAGCAAGAACATAAGGCTCTGGGTTCAAATCTCAGCACAAATATAGCTAAAAGATTTAAACCATTCTCACCACAAAAAGATAAATATATGAGGTAATGTATATTCTAATTAGTCCACAAAAATACATTTTTCAAATTACAATATTGTATACAGTAAACATATATAATTCAGATGTCAATTAAAATACATACATAAATTGTGGGGGGAAATGTAATATCAGCCTAACATATATGTGATAACTCAATTTGGGCAATAAAAGATTCAAGTATTTTATGCTACTAAGTGAAAAACTGATATTCACTTTCTTTTTTGCCTTGATTATTTTAAAAGTTTAATATCAACATCATAGAAATACAAGAGAATGAAAATATTGCTTCTGGTCGAAAACTACAAATCTTTAAAGAACTAAATATATACCTCAAATACTGTAAGTTGGTCTATTTGTTTATGCACACATGCTTACCTATGGTTCAAGATATCCAACTCCAAACCTCAAGAACACCAGACAAGCTTTCTGACTGCCCATTAATTAATTTTTAAGTTAAAATAATTTTACATATATAGAAAACAAAAAAGTAAAGTTTTGAGTAAAGTCACTAGAAAATAATCATAGGAGACAGTATAAATTGTCTATAGAATTTTGGAAGAATTAGTAAATAGTCCTTCAAAAAAAAAATCTATGCTTGACTGGGAAGGTGGCTTAGTGGTCGAGTGCTTGCCTAGCATGCATGAAGCCCTAGGTTCAATTCCTCAGCACTACATAAATAGAAAAAGCCAGAAGTGGTGCTGTGGCTCAAGTGGTACAGGGCTAGCCTTGAGCAAAAAGAAGCTCAGTGACAGTGCTCAGGCCTTGAGTTCAAGCCCAGGACTGGCCCCCAAAAATAAATAAATAAATAAATAAATAAATCTAGGCTACCTAAACCTTTAAAAACTTATTTTTCTCTCTAAAAGTAAATGTCCTTAAATAAAAATCTGGAAAATAATGAAAATAATGACGTTAGCCACATCTTCTACATGTGATTCTGTGTTTGACAAAATCCTATTTTCTGTCATTGTTTTACATTAAAGAGATATTCAGAATAATGAAGCATAAGTTCATATTATAAAGTTCCTATAGGACACATTCTATATGAATTAGTCCTGCAAAAAATAAGGTGAGTTCACAGGCAAGGAAAAGCTGAACACTGCTTATCTACATTGCATGGAATTGTAACCTGTTTTCTAATGAACTTTTTTATTTGTCCTCACAGCATGACCCAGGGATTTGTTCAATCAATTCTCCTTCCCTCTCCCCCTGCAGCATCCAATCAGTTTCCCAATTTTGTTCATTTTAAAGACAGATATTTCTTGAATTCAGTCCTTCAGGGTCTTATCACCTCTAGCTAAAGCTTGAGTGCATGACATCTTCTTGGAGCACATGTGCCATGGTGGGTTACAAACTTTTCATGCCCTAGCAGAAGTTACTCCATCCCCACTTGTCTTTCTCTGTACCTTTGCATCTACTGTCAGTATGTATGGACTTGTGTCTTTCTAAATTCTATTGATTCTTATGTATCTATGCAGAACATATTGGATTTCTATGAACAAGACAGCTTATAAAACTTATTATCAGACCTAGGTACAGTGGCTGTAATCCCAGTAACTCTTGAGGTGAAGATTGGAATTAAGGTTTACCTTGGGGACAAAAAGTTAGTAAGATCCCATTTCAACAAGCACCAGGGAGTGGTAGTGCATATTTATTATCCCAGCTACGCAGAAAATATAACTAGGAGGATTGTGGTTTAGAATGGCCCAGGCAAAAATGTGAGATTCCACCCCACAAATAACTAAAAAGTAAAAAGGGGCATTGCTCAAGTGGTAGAGCACCTGCCTAGCAAGCACAAGACTGTGAGTTCAACAAACAGTACCACCTAAAAAGAAAAAAAATTATTATTATTGCTTCCTTTATATTACACAGTTATTCCTAAGAAAATGTTATTGTCCATGTTAGACAATCCTTAAGAGCAAGGATGTAATCCTGCCTGTGCACTCCTCAAAGTGCCTTGATGACTGCATTTCATTCAAGGAGGTTTCATCAACTGTGTTTTCACACTTTCCAGTACATTAGAAGTACATAAGGGTGCTTGTTAAACACACAAATAGACAGAAGCAGGTGAGCAGGCAAATTTGAGATGGGACTTGTGAATATACCTTTTCAAAAAACTTCTATAATGAATTTGATGCAGTCTCCCCAGGCCTAATCTCTGGGCCTGAGCGCTGTCCCTAAGCTCTTCAGTTCAAGGCTAGTGTTCTACCACTTGAGCCACAACACAACTTCTGGTTTTTACTGCTTATATGGCGCTGAGGAATTGAACCCAGGGCCTCATGCATGCAAGGCAAGTACTCTACCACCGAGCCACCTTCCCAGCCCTGAATAGTCTTTTTTGATGACCACTTGAGAAAACCTAGCCTAGAGTTGCTTTAATTGTACAGAATCAGGTGCAGGAAGGTAGGATGTTCTACAGGAACCTAAAGGGCCACCAGTAACAACATACAAGAGTGATGGTACCTCCCACAAGTGATTCCACAAGTGAATAAAGCCCACTCTCAGTGAGGTGGCCTCTTCCTGTGCACACAGTCCACTCTAGAACACAGGCACATGGAAACATCTGCATGCTTCAACAAGAACCAAAGCCATAAGCTGGGTGCTGTGGGCTAATCCTAGCTGCTCAGGAGGCTGAGACCTGAGGATTGCAGTTCAAAGGCGGCCCTGGCAGAAAAGTTCATGTGGGACTCTTATCTCCATTTAACTACTCAAAATCAGGAAGTAGAATTGTGGCTCAAAGTGGTAGAGCACCACTAGCATTGAGCAAAGAGCTTAAGGACAGCGCCCAGGCCCTAAGTTCAAGCCCCATGACTGACAGAAATAAAAGAGGAATGAGGAAGTTCATTCTTGTTTCAACTTTGGAACACTTTACTAAAGGGAAAGAAAAAAGTCAACCAATAATGTATTTCTCAGAACTCCACTTGTGCCAACGTTAATCTGAGGTGACCTTTAGCGTTGTGGTTTTTGATAGTCACTTATACTACTTACTCTTTATATTTGGCCCTCCATCGTTCTATGTAACAAGATTTAAAATGAATATGCCCGTAAACTTCTCCCCAGATTGTCTGTGCATACTGTAAATGATCACTTTAGTCAATGATTTTGGCCAACGTATCGAATCCACTAGAGGCAATGTCGTCAATCACTGGCCTTTCGGGCCAGCTGACTAGACATGGGGTCCAGCTCTATTGCTTCTTATTATGCAACTCTGATCAGATGCTTTAATCTAGTGCAATTTCCTCATTTGTAAAATGAGAATAACTGTATCTACATGCTAAGATCTTGTGAGCATAATATGAACCAACATATGCTAAGCCCTACAGGTTCAATAAATGTTGGACTCATCAACCATCATCATCAAAAAGAAAGTTGGAGATATTTAGTTTCTTGTTGTAGGACTGACAGAGCTTTCCTAATTTGTAAGTAAACCAATATAGACTTTGTACAGATCCTTTGGTTGAGTTTTAATTGAATATTGTTTTGACTCAAATCCTATTCATTTTAATGTTATAAACTTTTCTCTCTTAAAACATGTAACACAAATAATGTACAAAAATAAAAATTTCAGAGATTAGTTGGTTATACCAACTTATTTTATTTATTTAGGAAATTACACCATTATAGAGAGGAAAACAACTAGTAGTCATTAACAAAGTTTGAAAGTTTGTGTATCTTAAAATTCTTAATTCTCTTTCCTGTGAGTGGTAAATATGGAAATAACAATGGTCTCTGAAATAAAATCAGGAAAAGAAAAAAGGAAGAATATTTCCTTTAAAATGATTGCTGCATTTCTTTTGAGGGTGTGAGGCAAAGTAAATGTGAACAAAAACAAGTATGCATCAGTGGACTACAAATTTAGCAGTCACAATTCCCAGCATCATATACTGTCAGCCACCAATGGGACAGAGTGATTAATCTACTCCAGAGCTCTTTTCAACAGTGGCCCAAAGATGAAAGGGCTGTTAGGGCACATTTACCTTCCTCTCATAATTTCTGGGAAGGGTAGGATAATAATTCCTACAGGTTTCTTA